TTCATTCAGTATGGTCGCAATAGGGGGTAAATCTTTCTTCCGTCCAAGAAGCTCGTAGATCACACATCCAATTGATTTTCCTTTTACACTGATTTTGTCAAGTTTTCTAAACTCTAATTGTTCAGAAACATAAGGTCTCAAGTATGTATCTTCTGAAACAATAATTTGCGTATTATAAAATTTGTTGGTACCTTCTAATCGAGAAGCAAGATTTACGCTGTCACCTAATATTAAAAATCCATTTTAATTGTGAAAAAAAACAAGCATTGAATGGATGAATATTACTTACCAATGATGGTGTAGTTGAGTCTCCATCTTGATCCAAAGTTTCCCTTTTGCATCACAGTAAAATAAATGCTTGTTAATAAGTGAATACTTACAACAATACAAGACCCACTGTGAATTCCAATTCGGCATCTCATTAAAGGTTTTCTCTCTTTAGCCCACTTCTTTCTCAACTCCTCCATCCGCATTTGACATCTCAAGGATGCCTTACAAGCTCTAATTCCTGAGAGCGTCGAATACTGAGGGGCTCCCCAGAAACCCATCACAGAATCTCCGATATATTTATCTAAGGTTCCTTTTTCTAAAATAATCTCTTCAGTGAGAACATGAAAATATTCTGATAGTTGCTTGATAAGAATCTGTGGTTCCAGCTCCTCACTTAAAGTTGTAAAATTTTCAATGTCAGAGAAGAATATTGTTAAATTGTTCACCAATTTTCCTCCTAAATTGATTTCATTTCCTTTTTGAAGCATTTCTCTAACAAGTTCACTTGGAACAAATTTTTTAAAAGACCTTAATGCCATCTTCATGTTTTCAAAAGCTGTCGATAGCTCCAAAACCTCCTTGATCGTTGAATGAAATGGCTTTCCTTATTAATCTCCAGATTTGAAATTGCCTTGCTCTCACATGAAAAATATGTTAGTGGTTTCGATACAGCTCTAGAAAATAGAAAGCTGAAAAACAAGCTTGCAATGAGGCATAAAATAGATATACCGACATTTATGCCAGCCAACATGAAAACATTACTGGTAAAATCTGTTTGTGGAGCCACAACCGCCACTAGCCAGTGCTGAATGCAGAATTGTAATGTCGTCCGATATAAAAGGGTTCAGAACTTACCATATTAAGAGAAAGTGTTTTGTTTACAACTCCGTGGGACACAACATATTCTTCTCCTTGAAAAGTAAATGTTTGAACATGTGCATCTGAATATGAAGTGTCTTTGTATAAAGAATAGTCAGATATTTTGGCAGGCAAAATATTGATAACCACATTTTTCAACAAGGGATCAGCAATTTCTGATGCGTCGGCAATTCTATATTCGAATTCCATGGTTGGATCATATATGGCAATAGAAGAAGCATTTTTGAAGCCCACCACTCGTTTATGAATACCTTCCTCTCGATTGAACATTTCAATAATCGCAACAAACGACCTTGGTGAGACATAGAATGATCTTACAAAGTTAGCTAAATATTCAATATTAACGTTAATGCTTGTTACTCCTATGAATTGAGAGTCATATGGAGAATAAATATTAGATTGAAAGCAAGTGTATACTCTTTGTTCGATAGTTTCTCCTTGCCTAATCATGTGATTGTAAAGAAGCATTTGTATCTAGCTCAACAAATAAAATCTTACCATTGAACATCTAAAGGAACCAAGGCTTCGTCATAAATTTGAGAGAGAGAATAGAATTCGTAGTCTCTAGGGTCCCATTTTGAAGTCGGTTCTTCGAAAGCAACAGTTCTCCTTTTTCCAAACCGTGTGAAGTAGAATGTTGATTGTAAAGATGTTTCATTATCAGGTTGAATAATTTGAAATACTTCTTGTCTTGGTTCAAACATGGGCTCTGTTTCGTTTTCCAATGGCTCCATCTTTTGGTAACCAGTGTCGACATAAAGATAATCTCCAGTCGGTGGAGTAAAATCCACAAGGTAAATCCTTCCAATGTATTGTTTATGACTGACAGCTAGAACTTTCATCAAATTCTCAAAACCTTGAGGGCTATAAATATTACTATTGTCGTCATTAATATTAATGCCACTTTCGTTCATGAAATACATTTTAAAGATTGCATTCTGTCGGAGATTATTTAAGGGTTAGATTTAACACAAAGATCTCGGCTCAACAAAACATACCTTTTGTGCATACGTTGCTTCCATGCAAAGCCGTAAAAATCGTCAACATAACTTTCTGCACTCCGATAACTCTGAGTTATTACCTGCATTTTGACGTCATTGGAGGCAAGAACTGAAAAACCTATCGAAAGTAAAACCAAAGTCAACACGGGAATGATTATCATTACCAACATGGTTGTTACAAGCAGGCATCTAAAGCTGCAATGCATACACAACGAGTTACTATTGCTAAAATCTTCGACATTCGAAGTAGATGAAGACACTATACTACCGCTGAACGTTCTGGACTTGGCCACTAAATCGTTCTCAATAGTAAAATCATCAATTAATTCATGAATCGTGTTTAAACTTGTCGTTGAACCTAATTCATTCATCATTTTTCGCGTTAAGGACCTGACAAGCCAACCTCGGGATTTTTCTTGGCTAGGCGCATTGAGATCCCGTATAGTTTTCGCTTTAGTAAATAGATATTTATCATGAATGTTGTGATTTTGATGAGGTTCCTCCTCCTCACCTGGCGTTGCTACCAACACCGTATCGTCATGATGATGATGATGAGGGTGTTGTTTGATTGCATAAGGGTACACTCTATTACTACTCAACGTTCCGCGTGGACCCGACAGTGAATGAGCCATTTTTCAACACGCGTTTGTCTCGGGTATTTCGTTATCCGTTGTTGATCGTTGTTGTTTTTAAAGCCTCAACAATAATCTGCCTCGTCGAAATTAAATTTACGGCGGTAGATGTTGCTCTACTTTTTGGTCTTCTTTTGGACGGAACCGATCGTTTTTGTGTTTACTTGCAGTACAGCTTGGAGTTGGAGATAAATGCATCTCTTTCTAGAGATCATTCAATGAAGACATTGTATTGCCAAATGTGTTTCGTTGACACGACTATAAAGTAAATTGTAACATCAAGTGACCTCAAACAACGGGTATTCGAATGGCGCAACTCTATTTATCTCTGATTATGAAATTCATCATCAATATTGATGACAACCTCCTTGCTAGTGTCGCTATAGTTGCTGACATTGTTATATTTATTTAATCTCTTGACTATTAATGATGATTCATTCAACTTTTAAAAGAAAATATGCAGTGCTGAAGGCCTGAGCCTTTCAAGATGTTGAAAGTTTTGTTTTGGTGGATTGATTAATGGATAATTTGAATCTTTGTGTGGAGAAGATTCGTTGCCATTTAGCGGACATTATATTGCCTTAACTTGAATTTGTGAATTGATGCGACACCAGTGTCGCTCATTTCATTTCTTGTGACAAATTGCCTCAGAAATAAATGTCATCCTTCAATAAAAAACAACAAACAACAACTAAACTCACTGAAACTCCCATCAAACTCTTAATATCTTTTCAAATGGTTTTCGAAATTGTTTATTTTGATAGTCCCGAAGAGCTGTAAGTTTTTGAAAGATGAACATGTCATTTATTCTTTGATAGGACTTTTTGAAACTTATTGCAGAAGTAGGGAATATTCCATACAAATTCACAGGAATCAAGTATCAGGAATGGCCACAACACAAATCTTCCACTCGTTATGGACAATTGCCCTATCTCAAAGTCAATGATCACTTGACCTTGTATCAAACCATGGCCATTGCTCGTTTCTTAGCTCAGGAATGTGGTCTCTATCCGTCCGACAGAATAGAAGCCACCCAAACCGAAGAGTACATGCTTGCTTTGGACGATGTCTTTTCCAAATTTGTTAAAATTGAATTTCAAACACCTAAAGAAAAGAGAGAAGAAGAAATTCAATTGTTCAAGGAAGGGGATCCTTGAGGACCATCTTTGGAGCATTGAACAAAGTATTGGAAGCCAATGGAGGCTATTTAACTGGAAAGCTAAATTGGGCAGATTTATTCTTCTTTGAAGTGGAATTAATTATTGAAAAGAAACTCTCGATTGATGTTGAGAGTGTGGCACCAGAGTTGAAAAAATTGAGAGAACATGTGATGGCCAACGAAAAGGCAAAGACTTATTTGGAAAGTGAGAGAAACCTCAAGAGACACTCTTAAAAACTCCCATCTTTACATTGGCAGAAGTCTCTTAATCATCATTTTCAGTTAGTCTTCAAGTTGTTGTTCCATTTCAAAACTATTATTTTCTCCAAAGTAACACTCTCATGTTCCAAGTGCTTTTGTCATCATGCAGTTACAAAGTCATCTTCACACAGAACTCTGAGGCACAACAACTTGTTTATTTTTGTGTTGATTGCTGTTTCTTTTCCTTTTTCAGCTTTTTATCAAACAATTGTCTTAGCAATATCACATCTTGTACCTCTCTCTTAATATTTCCATATGGTGTTTGGAGAATTGCTTCATATTGTTCCTGTGTGAATGGCAATTGTCTGAGAGGAGTGTTTTGAATCGTGGCAAGAATTTGTTCAGATGGCACTTGCAATAAATTAAAGTAATCTCTAATAATTTCAAATCGTCGTTCGTTCACCAAATGAAAATTCGATAATTGTTGCTGCAGGCCAAATATATTTCTCATCATCTTTTCGAGACCTAGTGTTGTGAAATTGGGAGCCTTAAATATTTCACCTCCTAACATGGCATTCGATTCTTCATCGAGTTTCATTTCATTAAATTGTGCAATCGCAAATGGTAGACTTCAATGAATAAATCTAGAATCATACGTTCGATAGATTCAAAAGATATCTCAATTTAGATTTTGGCAAATAACAAGAAATATATCTTTCAATTCTAAATAAATCTTGATTGAATGCATTAATAAAATCTTCTGGTTCTTTTCTTTCATCTTCACATTCATAAGTTCCATATTTCAAAAGATTGTCCATTAAATTACAGTGAATAAAGTGATAACAATGTACACGAATATCTAATTTGAGAGCAAAAGACATTTCAAAGCAAGCTCTCGATATTCTTTTCATAATTCACCAAGAAGAGAGAATA